TGCCTTGCTGTATTTCTCCTGTCGTCATGGTAGTTTGGTGTTCTTCTTGGATGTCTACTTTCATCTCTTTCATATTAAGGAAGTTCTCTTCTATTATCTCTGTGAATATTTTCTCGATTCCTTGGCCTTTCTCTTCACCTTCTGGGATACCTATAACTCTGATGTTTACTTTCTTATTCGTGTCAGATAGCTCTGGAAGTGTTTCTTCATTCCTTTTCCATTTTACTTCTCTTTCTTTTTCTTTTTTAATTGTCTTTATTTCTGTGTTTTTGAGGGTGCTGATTAGTTCAACTGTTTCATCTATTCTGTCTTCATTACTTTTCCCAGCATTCTTTATCTCCTCTAGTGGCCTTTTCATCGCCTGATTTCTTCTATTTCCTTTTTTAATGTCTCATTTTCTTTCTTCAATTCATTGATTGCTTGTCTCATATCTTTTTTTCTTTTTCATTTCTTTTGCTCATTCCTTGTTTGCATTCTTCAATTCCTTGATGGCTTGCCTCATATAACATTTTTCCTTCTCATCTTCTTTTTGTTTGCTTATCATGATGATTCTGAATTCTCTATCTGGTAGGCTGAGCAGTTATTCTATTTCTTTGGTGCTTTCTAATTTTTTTGTGGTGAAATTTTCCCCTGTGGACTAGCTTGGGTATTTTTCTCCTTTTCCCTGTCTTGTATTTTCTAATACTTTCTATTTGCTGAGACACGGTGTCGCTGTTATTGACTGGCATTCTTTCTGGATGTTTTTTTTCTGGGATGGCTGAGGGACTTCCAGATACTTCAGTTGTGGAGGATATTCTGAGTTGTGCTTTGTTTCAGTCTTCTATTTTTCCAGTGCCCCCCCCCCCCACTGTGTGGAATTGTGTCTGTCTTCTTAGCCTGTAACAGTCAGGGTTCTCTTGTGGTGTTCAGCCTCTTCCAGTAACACTTTGGGTCCTTGTCTCTGGAAGGTGCCTATTAATATTTGTAGCCTTCGGATGTTACAGGTTCTCTTTATGCTTGGATTGCCCGTAGTGAGGGTAGGGTCTCCCTGCAGCTGGGCCTGTGGTTGAGCTGGTCGCTGCTTTTGTTTACTTTCTGTGCACCATAATCCTTTCTGGCTCACAAGTCTTCAGGCCTCTGCTGTGGGGGCAGGAGATTCAGGAGTGCAGGGAGTGCCAGAACAGCTGTAATCCTCACAGCTGAGCAAGTTGCCAGTCCTCTCTCTGAGCTTCCAGGGCTTTTTGTGTTCACTCCAACAAGTATCTCCCTTAGCAGTCTTTCCCCACTGCTTTGGGTCCTCTCACAGAGCCAATTTGTCTCTAACTCCTGGGTTTTACTGCAGTTTTTGTGAGTAGATGTGGTAGGCAGGTAGACCCCATAGCATGTCTCCCCATCTGAGGCACTTCCTATGGCCTCTTTATGCTAGGATGTACCTGTTAAGTGTCTGGGGGGGGGGATTGTTAAAATTGTTGCATTTTCTCAGGTTTGGGTCTGTGGTTGAGTTCTAACCATTTTTGTTTGTTTGTTTGTTTGTTTTCCCCCTTTTACCTTCCGGGCTTTGTGAGTCTTGCTGATCTTAAAAAATGGTGACGAGACCTGATCATGACTTAATGGCAC